GTGACTCCAATTCCAGGGAATCTGACATCATCTATTGACTTCCATAGGCACTGTATACACACGGTATATAAACATACATGCAGGTAAAACATCAAAAATAAAACAAACAAACAACAACAACAAAAAAACAAGCAACTTCTTTGGCATATGTTTCCTGACTATGAAAAAGATTTTGGTTCTTCAAGACAGGGTTTCTTTGTGTAACAGTCCTGACTGTCCTGGAACTTACTCTTGTAGACCAGGCTGGTCTTGAACTCACAGAGGTCCACCTGTCTCTGCCTCCTGAGTACTGGGATTAAAGACATGTGCTGTCACTACCTGGCCCAAAAAGCTTTAAAATCAAAAAGTTTGTGTTTGTGCAAGCATGTTGTGTAGTGTATATACAAATGAGTGCATTGGTGCTCACACTCATGTGCTCATATGAAAAGGACAGAGAGGATATTAGGTCTCCTTTATCACGCTCCATCTTATTGTTTGAAACAGGGTCTTTGGTTTAACCTCAGTTGACCATGTCAGCTCAAATGCTTAGTCAGTGAGTTTCTTGAAGCTGCCCGTCTCTCGCTCAACAATGTGGTTACAGGCATGCCAGATTTTTTTTAAATCATAAATTTTTTATTGAAAAAAAATTCTGCCTCCTCCTGCCTCCCATTTCCCTCCCCTCCCCCCACTCCTTTCCCCCTCCCTCTCCAGACGAAGAAGAGCAGTCAGGGTTCCTTGCCCTGTGGGCAGTCCAAGGTCTTCCCCCCTCCATCCAGGTCTAGGAAGGTGAGCATCCAAACAGGCTAGGCTCCCACAAAGCCAGTTCATGCAGTAGGATCAAAACCCCATGCCATTGTCCTTGGCTTCTCATCAGCCTTCATTGTTCGCCATGTTCAGAGAGTCCAGTTTTATCCCATGCTTTTTCAGTCACAGTCCAGCTGGCCTTGGTGAGCTCCCAATAGATCAGTCCCACTGTCTCAGTGGGTGGGTGCACCCCTCGTGGTCCTGACATCCTTGCTCGTGTTCTCCCTCCTTCTGCTCCTCATTTGGACCTTGGGAGCTCAGTCCAGTGCTCCAATGTGGGTCTCTGTCTCCTATTTCCATCCATCGCCAGATGAAGGTTCTATGGTGATATGCAAGATATTCATCAGTATATGCCAGATTTTTTTATGGCAGTGCTTGGGATTCAAACCCAGGTCCTGTTATTTACATAGCAAGTGCTGTAACCTGTTGAGTCATTGCCCCAGACTTGAATAAACTCCTAATTATATTTAAAAAGTAAGATACTAACACTCAAGACTCTCTTCTTTATATGATAATTAAGAGTGGATTAGAATAGATTTTTAATACTGAAAAGATAATTATTACATCATTATGGATTGAAGTAGAAAGTAAAGACTTCTTAAAAGTGGAAATGTGAAAGATAATACATCAATTAATTATTTGACTTAATAGGTTAGTTTTAGATAGCATTGTGGAATTTGTTAAGTAATGACATGAGAAAAAGGCACAGGAAAATACAATGTGAGCTTGGAATTTATTGTAGACAAGGAATGGAGAAGAAGATGCAGGTGGGCCTTACATTTTTAATTATAAGTTGACGAAGGGGTCAAACCAGTTTGTAAACAGACCCAAACTCTGAAATACAGTTTTCTACACACATGTGGACTTTAGGATGGAAAAAAAAATCTTACTTCAGAATAACATTAATCCCATTTTACAATCGATTCTCAAAGAAAAGTGAAGAGTTGTATTTTCTTCTTATACCTGGCAAAGGCACAAGATTGAAAGAAAATATCTAAAGAATTATAATAAGCCTGCTGCATTAAGTAGTAATAGTAAATAGTTTAAGGTAGAGGAGGGTGTTAATGCACATCCATGTGTTATTTCAGAAATGAGGTATATATAAAAATATACCCTGCATTAGGGGAGAAAGCAATTCTATGTTGCTGTACATGCTTTCTTAGCAACTCTGGATGTGTTGGATTGAATATCATGTAAAACACCGTTAGTACTACTTAAAGAAGGGAACTATTCTCAGATTTATTTATTTATTTTCTTTCATTCTGTCTTTTAAAACTTAGACTACACCGTAATGTTCATCTTTGTTTATTTACCATAGCAATGCTCTCCAGAATGTGGCACACCGACACAAACATACAAACACACACATACACACAAACATACCAGGAAATTAACACTGATAGACCATACATTAGATGAGGATGGGTAGTTTAAAAAGTATCTTACAGGATGCACTTTTCCTTCAGAATTGATTGTAAAATGGGATTAATGTTCTGAAGTAAGATTTATTTTTTCCATCCTAAACTGGTTGCCATTTTAAAGTCTGCATGTGTCTATAAAACTCTTTGGATCTGTTTACAAAAGTACTGTAATCCTAGTCAGAACGGAAGCTGAGATGGCTTTGTTTGGCATAGGAGTTTGGGAGAAGTCTGGGAAACAGAGTTTCCTCATCCCTTACACACACACCCCACAGAACTACAGCTACCTAAATTTTCTTGGGGGCGATAGCTGTAAGATATATAAAGATTGTTACAGCTTTTTCTGAAGAACTTTCAGTGCTCTAAATAGGGGGCTTTGAAACTTTTGTTTTTAGAGGGTTTAAGCTAAACCGTCACTTGTTTCTTAGGAGACTGACATATACACTAACAGACCTCAGTCCAGTTCTAAATACCTCAGCATAATTGAGATTATGGCTGGTAATTCATTCATCTGCCATTACACAAACTCCACCTCCCTTGACATAGCTCTTAATAATAAATGTTCTAACATGCTGATGAGAAAATGCATTGTTTTTAATGCTCAGGCAAGTAGGTATCCTAAAATATATTTTACACATGTACACACACTTTTTTCCAAAGTGATAAAATGCTGTAAGAAATGAAAGCTATAGTGAGTGCTTACTGTGTGTGAGATAATATCCCAAGAACCCCTCAGTACTGTAGAGTATTATTTAATCCTCACAACAATCTTATGAAATGGGGGGTTATTTTAGTAGACAGATGAATTGATAGAGCACAGTGAGGTTCACTAATTTGCTGACTCTAGTATTTTCTTTTTTACTTGTATTAATTTGGGAACACCCTTAAGTAACATTTAGGAGTTAACTTATTTCCTAATGTCTGAACTTAATTATCTTTTGACCTACTTGATGATATACATTTTTTTTGTTATAAAAAAATACCAAACAAACCAAAACTTAAAATCTTTGAGTTCTATAGTGTGGTGCCCTCCTAGTTCCTACTACCTGGAAGCCTGAGGTGGGAGGATGGATTGAGCCCAACAGCCTGAACCCAACCCAAAGAACAGGGTTACCCCAATTGAAACTTTTGTTTTTCAGTTTTTCCCATCTTGTTCTTTAATAAAATAAATAAAACCTCCTTTTTCCTTAGCAGAAAGTGAAAATAGTACTTTTAGCTTTTAATAATGTTTAGCTTAAAATGTAATGTTCAAATAATATAAAACATGATAGTTTAATACAAAAAGGATCTGCCACCATGAATTTGTTAATAAATTTTAAAGATTTATATATTATATATACAGTATTCTCAGTACTCTGCCTGCAGGCCAGAAGAGGGCACAGATCTCATTACAGATGGTTGTGAGCCACCATGTGGTTGCTGGGAATTGAANTGCAGGCCAGAAGAGGGCACAGATCTCATTACAGATGGTTGTGAGCCACCATGTGGTTGCTGGGAATTGAACTCAGGACTTTTGGAAGAGCAGGCAGTGCTCTTAACAACTGAGCCGTCTCCCCAGCCCTTGTTATTAAATTTTAACACCTTTAAAAAAATACCAAAGCAATATTTATTTAATGCTAAGCTATCTGCCTAATGTAGTTTGTAAGTACAGAATAAACTTCTTGCAGTTGTGCTTTAATTGCTGTGCAGATAGTATTCAACTGTATTCATAGACTGCTGCCTGGCTTGTCATCTTTTTTTTTTCTTAAAGGTTCAAGCTCAGCTTAATTTTAAAAGCTGTTTTAGTCCATTTTTCAAAATTCTAAGTTTCCTGAACAGCTTTTAATATCTAGAAAGAACAGAACAAGTAAAGAAAAAAGGATCTATATTTAAAGACAGTGCATCAAATTCAGTAAGATTAAGTAAACCAAATTAATCTCCTTTACAGATTTCACAATATGTTGAAAGATATTTAAAAGCATTGTGCATATTTAAAAAATACAGAAGATAGGGGCTGGAGAGATGGCTCAGTGGTTAAACTGCTCTTCCAGAGGACCCAAGTTCACTTCCCAGCACCAACATGGCAGCTCACAACTGTCTGTAATTGCAGTTCCAGGGGACTCGACACCACAGCAAAAGACCAGTGCACATCAATAAAAAATAAATAAATAAAAGAATGTATATATCCTAAGGAGACACTTGTTCACCCCTTTAAAAAAATATAGAAGATACAGAGTACTTAATACTACACATTTTATTAACTTACCTTTATCTAAAACCTGATGTAAACTGCTTGTATTACAGGTTTGATTTCTTTCCTCAGCCTGTTGTTTATTCATCTGCTAATTCCAAACAAAGGGAAATGGAAGATTTGGCATTAGTTCAGGTCAGAGCAAGGGACCTGTGTTTCCTGTGCGTAGAGTATACATTCTGAGCACCTCCCCTTAGGCTCTTGCCTGCCTTTGTTAGCAAGGACTTTCTGAATCCATATGTAAGTTTAACAGCATTTAATTTTCAGCTTTTTGCAACCTGGCTCTTAAACTACAAGTGATTCACCTGTAAGTTTTCCCCCTTTATTACCTTTTATCCCTCTTTTAACGGAAGTTTTCTAGGACTGATTATGTTTATCTGTGTAACCTTTGGCATTAAGCCTCTTTGTTACTAATTGAGTTTTGCCACCCTACTTAGTTTGCAATGGTGCCATTTTCTCTTATAATTAAGTAGCTGTCATGTGGCCATCAGCCACTTTACGGACAATGATAATCAAGTAGTTTTTAACCCCTTTAAATTCACAAAGCCAAAATGACTTTTCTCTCGTAGGAATGCCAGAATCACCTCCGCAGATATGGAAATGTGAATCTGGAACTGGTGACTCGAATCATTAGAGATGGTGGCCCATGGGAGGATCCAGTGTTGCAAGCTATCCTGAAAGCCCAACCGGCATCTCAGGAGATAGGTACTTGAGGAGAGTCAAAACAAAACCATTTCTTTTCTAACTTGGCCCAAAGTGCTTCTTTTTTTTATATATATTTATTTATTATGTATACAATGTTCTGTCTGTGTGTATGCCTGCAGGCCAGAAGAGAGCACCAGACCTCATTACAGATGGTTGTGAGCCACCATGTGGTTGCTGGGACTTGAACTCAGGACCTTTGGAAGAGCAGGCAATGCTCTTAACCGCTGAGCCATCTCTCCAGCCCCCCCAAAGTGCTTCTTGACACCAGCTTTGTTACATTTCTTTCTAGTAATGGTACTAAGACTGTTGACATATTTACTGGGTAATACAGGGTGTTTGTTTTTATCCCTACAGTTACATTTTTAAAATCTGTTTAACTAGGAATGCTTTTTGTTGTTGTTGTTGCTTAAAGCCCAAACCCTAAACTTTCTTTCATAAAAATAGCATGCAGAATATTCATTGCATAGGAGTTTTTTTGTAAAGCTTGGAACTCTGAATTTATTATCCCTGTTACTATGGTAACACATTCTTGTATCTTATTCTATAGTTAGTCAAGTACCCAGTGCACAGCAATTACTTAATACTGACACATATTGGTTGAATGATCACATGATGAATGAATGAATCAATTAAATTTCAAATAGGATAGTATTTCCTAAACTAATGAAATTTTGTCTTATCCTCTCATTACTTACATCCTTCTTAGCCATACAGATCCACAGTGAACTCTTGTGAGCCAAAGTTCCTTACTGAAGGAGGAGGTTCACTTCTCTACTCCTACTTGCTAATTCTTTAGTTTCCCATAGTATTAAAATGTGAGTTCTGAGATACGTTGGATCAACAAAACTTAAGATGTATGAATAAACTATAGTGCATAAGCACAAAAATGTAGAAAATATTTTGAAATCATGGAGTTTATGAAGTACAGTTATAAGAAAGCCCAAGAGAACAGACAAGGTCTCCAACTTGGGAACAGTTTACACCAACATGTGATGAACATGTTGGGATATTTGTACCAGATTATGAGGTGGAGTGTGTGGCAAAGGGACAATAATGCTGGGCTTAATGCTAAGTGTGAAGAACCCCAGGGGAGCAAGGGAAGCTGCTGCTTGATGTTTGGATCTTGGCAAGCACTTAGAGAAAATCAGAGGGAGACAGTTGGAACTGGCGAGAAAGGCTTGCTTATTGAGGAAACATATAAAAAGTAAAATATAGAAAAGATAAGGGGCATAATGAAAATAAACTAGGAAATGTGGTCAGAGAAGATAGAGGATAGCAACAAGAAACCACAAATGCTAGAAAGCAGAAGGGAAAGGAACTTGCTGTTACATGTTTGTTAATCTGAGTATAATCTCCATTAGCTAGTTTTTTAACCTGAGTACAATACACACAAAACAATATTTTTTATATATTTTTTGAAGAGTGCAGGAGAGAAGAAAGTTTATTAGGCTATTAAGGGAGCTTTTAGGCTTCTTTGAGGAAGCGCTAGACCTGTGGTTAGCTGGTATGAAGGCTGATGGGTCTTCAGGTGGGAATCACATTAAAATAATGAACATCCTTTTATAACTAACTAGCATTCAATACTTTGGGCAAAGGCTCACTACCGCCTCATTGATATAGATGACTCCTCTTTTGGATGTAATCCTTGTGGTGAATTTCAAACACTAATTTATTTTTGCATTAATTCCAAGTCAGCATTTACTTATACATTTTAAACTGAAGTATAAGTAAAATATTTAAGTCAAAATAAAATATAGTCCATAAGCACTTTAGTAGCTTTTGATGAAACTTAAATAACTGTGAAATGTTTAGATTTAAAAATCATAAAAAAATAAAAAAAAGAAAAAAAATCATAAAATATGGTTCCACTTCATTCTCTGCCACTTACAATTTCTTTGTCATTGGAAAAGTCATTTAATCTCTAAAATGAATAGCATACTACTTGTCCTAAGGTTGTTGTTAGGCTTAAATAGCTTATACAGTTAAGTGTGTTTGTATTTGTAAAATGAAAGTAAACATAAGTTAGTAGTTATCCTTGGGGATACATGAACACATTAATAGACCTCTTTGGTACAACTTTGCACTAATTTTATTTAATAGTTAATTATTCATGAATTAGATTTTTCTTTAACTTAGCTTACATTTCTGTACAGTTAATCTGATTTAATGTGGTTTTAATGTACTAATTTAGCATTCAATCTTTTATAATGAGAATATGGGAATATAAGAATAAAGAGTGTAATCTTAGGCTGGAGGAGCATTTTACACTTAAACATTCTAATGTATTGATGAACTAAAAGAAGGACATTTGATTTTCCCCCTTTATACAGTTTTAATTCTGTTTTTAACCCCCTTTTTTAGACTAAGAAGAAATCAACTAGTGTTTCTTGAGTACTGTTTTGATGTTTTATTCTCGTTTTAACAGCTTTATTAAGTTTTACTATGGAACATGTTACTTAAACAGTTAATTAGATAGAATGTTTTAGTTGTAAAGTTTTAAACAAGAAAGTCTGAATACTTTCTAAGAGTAATAATGTTTTCTTTTTTAATATAGTGAACAAATATTTAAGTTCTGAAAATCCACTGTTCTTTGAACTGCGTGCCAGATACCTAATTGCCTGTGAACGCATCCCTGAAGCAATGGCTCTTATTAAATCTTGTATAAATCACCCAGAAATCGGTAAAGACTTGTACTTCCATCAAGCACTCTTCACCTGTCTGTTTATGTCACCTGTAGAAGATCAGCTGTTCCGGGAGGTATCCTTTTTTTCCCTATTACATTTTATTAACCTTACTAAAATTAAAACAAAAGCCCATTGTTATTGCATTTCATGTGCAGTACTACTGAAGATTTAGAGACCACATTATCTAAATGTGTTCTCTGGTGACCATTCTTCAAGCTCATGTCAATTAGTCAGAATCTGATAATAACAAATTGAATTAATACTTACTAAATTTTTGGTATGATACAGACAGAAACTAAGAAACATGTTTTTTCCTCTTAAAGTGCTAAGAAGCTAAATGCTTATGTTTATTTTGCTTTTCACAGTAAAAGAAGGAATTATTTCCTAATCTGAATCTTACCCATAGGCATTGATGACATTACAAGTACTTGTGAAACACATGTGCTAGACCATGTGAGACCATGAAATTGCTATAGTGTATAATTCTAAAAGAAACTAGAAATCTACCAGTACTTGAAGTATTTGAACAGTAACTGCAACTAGATTTTTATACATTGTTAATGGCAGGAACTGATCTTCTTTTCTTCTTATAGCATTTATTGAAAACTGACTGCAAGAGTGGGATTGATATCATCTGTAACACTGAAAAGGAAGGAAAGACTTTGCTAGCCTTGCAACTCTGTGAATCCTTTCTTATTCCACAGCTCCAGAACGGGGACATGTACTACATATGGTAAGTGTTTCTCATGCAGAGAGGAAATGATAAACAGAAGGAAGATTGATTAGAGGAGTTTGCACTAATATTTTCCTTACAGTTGTATGAAAGTATTTAACTATTTAAAATAAAAAGGTTTAGTTTTATTATTTTTTCAACTGTGTTTGTATGTATATGGGCATGTACATGTGAGTGCAGATGCCCTTGGAGACCAGAAGATAGCATCATATCCTCTGGAGCTGGAATTGACTAATGTTTGTGAGCCATGAACCATGAGTGCTAGGAACTAAATTAGAGTTCTCTACAACAGCAGTACAAGCTCTTAACCACCAAACCATCTCTCCAGGCCCATTTCGGGGTGGGGTGGGGGAGCAGGAATTTTGTTTACCAAGTCTGACCACCCCTCTCCTGATTTTATAAAGACAAAAAGGAAATTAAACTTATATCACCTAAGAATTAAAAACCAAATCTTTTGTGTTCAATGAATGTTCATTTAAAAACCTCTTATTATCTTGGAATAAGTTGGGAAATAACTATGTATATATTTGTAATAAGTTCTTTTGTAAAATACTAAATGGATCATTTATCTTTTTCTTTTTTTGTTTTTTCTGGTTTCTAGCTATCATTTTGTCTTAAAAATCTGTTGCAGAGTTAAGCCATGTATACTTTTAAATATAATTCAAATTAATCTGCATGCTTTCTTTTTTAATCTCCATTTTATTAAAACACTTTTTAAAAAATGTTTACCATCATCTTTAATCTCATTTCATGTATACACTTTATCTTACTAAATTCCTCAAGAAGTTTCAGCATTTAGGAATATAAAGTTGCCAGATTACCTGGATGAGGCAATAGCTTAATTATAGAATAGTTAGTTGTTTGGCATCTGTGAAACAATAGTAACAGAATAAAAATAAAATGAACTACCCCAGATTATCAGCTAATACAAATTTATTTATTTATTCATTTTTTTAAAGATTTATTTATTTATTATGTATACAGTATTTTCAGTATTCTGTCTGTATGTATGCCTGCAGGCCAGAAGAGGGCACTAGACCCCATTACAGATGGTTGTGAGCCACCATGTGGTTGCTGGAAATTGAACTCAGGACCTTTGGAAGAACAGACAGTGCTCTTAACTACTGAGCCATCTCTCCAGCCCCCGCTAATACAAATTTATTGAACAAATGTTATTTCTTGGTATCTTGAAGGTTATATTGAATGTATGTAGGAAGCTAGTAACTATGAAACTTCAATACATACCAGGCAGTTCACTAGGGATGTCTTTAAATAATAAAGGTAAGTGGACATTGGATATTTTTATTTTTTTAAACATCAGTTGTTATCTTCATCATACATTGTTACTGAGGAGATTTACATGCATTAGTAGCTGGGAAATATGATTCATAAACAAGCCCATCCAACATCTCACAAGTTGGTGCTTCAGGAGATTTGAAACCAAAATCTCTGAGTAGCAAACACAATGTTACTTCTTCCTAGAGTAGTAGTAGTCATTTTTAAAAATTCATAATACAGAATAATGGAGTAATGAATTTTTAACTGAAAAATGTTTGTTATTCTGTTTTGACCCAAAGAAATTTTTGATACCAGATTTGTTGCATTTTTTCTAGTGGAATTAACATTTACGTGATCTTACTTACAGGATAACACCCTCTTATGTAGAAAGGAGCCCTGTGCTTGGTGAGCCCAAGTCTGCTTGCATGTTCTGTGCTCACAAGACATACACAGTAAATAACATTTGAAAACAGGGAAACTCTCCACCAACTAGTTTAGTAGTTTTAAATCACAGTGCTTTGTATAACTATTAGGGCAGATTTTAAAGAATGCTAATATGAGTTAAATCCTTATACATTGCCTTTATCTCAGATTCTCCTGCCTATTTGTCTTTTGTTCATCCTTGGGCATGTATTAGAAAATCCTTTCTGTGAAATGCTTTAAGTGCTCTATAGTTTGTTCAAAAATATTGCAGAAAAGTACATAATCTAAAGATGATCTAAAGGATACAATTTCATACTAGAATATGCTTAAATTTTAAAATTACTTTTAGTATTTTAGCAGAATTATTGCTCTAGTTGGCACTGGAACCTGGGAGAATGAATCCAATAAATGAGTTGGACTAAAGCCTCAAGCATCCCCCAGTTTTATTCAGAACATCTGACATTTTATACTCTGAGGGTTAAGAAGAGTCACATGAATAAGATTACAATCACAGGGGCAAGTCACACGTGTCAAAAACATGTTTTTCCATAGAAGCATATAAACAAATAACAGTAGCTGATTAATTCGAAGTAAACTCATTCCTATTCACTACACATGGGAAGGACACAAATAGACATTCCCAGAACAATTCTATGTTTTTGAAGAAACTGAGGTCAGAAGACTCCATTCTTGGATGGTGTTCTGACAGTAGTACACTAAAGGTCAAAGTGTGTGTTTTAAAGTTATAACATCAGTATTAGTACATTAAAATTAGAACTGCATTGACTCAATACTATATATTTCTTAGGCATGCCAGCATTTTGTTGGAAATCATTACTATCAATTCAAAATTATAATTTTTTATTTTTCTCTTTTAACTTCTGTTAATCTCAAAGGTAGGACACGTAGCTTGCACTTTTATAACTACTTTACGTATATTCTAAATAGGACCGTCTAGAATCGGGGAAAGGAACTAATGTCTGTCCTTGAATAAACTATTTTTTGATGTATGTCTTTTTCTCATTTGCAGGGAGTTGATTTTCATATGGAGTAAACTACAGCTTAAATCTAATCCTTCAAAACAAGTGTTTGTAGATCAATGTTACCAACTTTTAAGAACAGCAACTAATGTGAGAGTCATATTTCCTTTCATGAAAATCATTAAAGATGAGGTACATATGATATTTATCCTTTTAGTTTTTAGATTTTAAGGCTGCATTCTCTGTATGCCACAATCTTTTCTATCCAGCTTCAAACATTCAGCATGGTACATGAAATAAAGAGGGGAAAGCCAGTTTATTGTTACTTAATTTGACAACAATTGCTTCCATATGAAATGCTTTTCTTACAACTTAAGCAAATTTATCATTTTTACCATAATAAGTTCTGGTTTTGAACATTAATTTACAAATGATCTGATAATACCCCTTAACTGTCTCAGAAAAATCTTAGTTGATGGTAAACCTGTATGTAGTTAAGTGGGATTACCAGAATATAAGAGACTAAGAAGATTTACAAATGGTTACTCTTTCCTTTAATCCATAACCATATGTAGGCAGTATGACATGCAACATACACAGAGACCTTATAATATAAATACATTGTGATTTCTGTCCTATTCAAATAAGTATTGATTATTTTAACCATTACAGGAATAAACTTGACTGCAGTAGATGAACAAAATATTCTGTAGTGAAAGCTAATATAATTATCATTAGCAGAAGTAAAGGTTGAATTATTTTCATACAATTTCTAGTAGGCTTATTATTCTACTTTATTAGATTTGTATGATGCCCCTTTTATATTTGTATAAATATGAAGAAAATGCCTAGTTTGTATAATAACAATAATATACCAATATTATAAGTACTATTTAGAATGACAAAATTTGCACAGGTATTAAAAAATAATTTAATTACTTCTCAGCATCTATTTGAAATAGTATGCATTGACCTTTCTGTCAGAAAATGAGAATGATCCTCCAAATGAGCCCAGAATTGAAAGAAAGTCTAAATAAAGTTTGTAAGTATTTTATATTGTGGTTATTGGTCTTGTCACTGTTGAAAATTAAATATAAAACTCTATCAGGTTATTACCATTTAATAAAAGATATGTGCTACATAAGGGTAAAAAAACATAATTATTGAAGAGATGTACACTAGAAATCTTTCCCATACTTCGGAACACTGTTTCATAAAGCTTTCCTTTTGGAGTTGTATTTAAACATGAAAGCAGTTTGAATAATGATTTTTAAGTTATATTTAGTAGAACTATTTTTGTTTTTCTAGGTTGAAGAAGAAGGCTTACAAATTTGTGTTGAAATATGTGGTTGTGCCCTTCAGCTTGATCTTCATGATGATCCTGAAACTAAATGTCTTATTTATAAGACCATCGCACATTTTTTGCCAAATGATCTAGAAATCGTCAGGGTTTGTGCTCTGTCAGTATTTTTTCTTGAGCGTTCCGTAGAGGCCTACCACACTGTTGAAGAGCTTTACAGACGTCCTGATGAAGAGTATAGTGAAGGTACAAGTACTGTTCAAAATCGTGTTCGTTTTGAATTACTTCCAATTTTGAAAAAAGGATTATTTTTTGATCCTGAGTTTTGGAACTTTGTAATGATTAAGAAAAACTGTGTGGCATTACTGCGTGATAAAACAGCAGTGAGACTTCTGAATGAAAATACACTGGAAAATTCTGCAGGTAGTCTAAAAAAGACAGTGGAACAGCAGAGTGTGGATGAAGGGCTTGACACACTCACTGATCAGAGCACTGGAGAGACGGATCTTGAAGATGTGTCTGGAGTGCCGTCTAAAGGCCATCTTAATGCAAAGAGAAGCCTCAGTGCTCTTAATACTTCCAAAGTGGATCACAGTGTCCCAAGGCATCGGTGCATGTTATGTAACAAGGAATTCCTTGGTGGCCACATTGTAAGACATGCTCAGGCTCATCAGAAAAAAGGCAGTTTTTCATGTGTGATCTGTGGTAGAAAATTTAGGAACAGAGGACTTATGCAGAAGCATTTAAAGAACCATGTTAAGAAGATCCAGAGGCAACAGATTGCTACAGCACAACAGGATGATCCAGAAGTCATCACTCTGGAAGAAATAAATTGTTCTAAAACTTCCATTTCTTTTGAAAATGGGAATTCAAATACTAAGGGTTTGGAAATAGAGACATTGACTGCTTCCACTGATGGAAACAAAGAGGTCATCCGTGAACACATGGCTGAATTTATTAAAATTCCTATTGGTATAGCAGAGAATGCTATTGAAAATGGCAAACCAGACACTTCTTTCAATAATATCTCAGAGTCTTTACCTCAGTGTGATGATGACTATGAAGAGGAAGAGAATGAAGATGATTGTGAAGATGACTATGACCTGAATCAAGAAACATCAGTACTTCATAAAATCAATGGAACTGTTTGCCATCCAAAAGATGTATATGCTACAGACCAAGAAGGTAATTTCAAGTGCCCTGCTATTGGCTGTGTAAGGATATTTAAAAGAATTGGATTTCTAAATATGCATGCAAGGACTGTACATCCAACTGATTTAAATGTGCGGCAAACAGTAATGAAGTGGAGCAAAGGAAAATGCAAATTTTGCCAAAGGCAGTTTGAAGATTCTCAGCATTTTATAGATCACCTTAATAGACACAGCTATCCAAATGTGTACTTTTGTTTGCATTTTAATTGTAACGAGTCATTTAAGCTGCCATTCCAGCTTGCCCAGCATACAAAAAGTCACCGGATATTTCAAGCTCAGTGTAGTTTTCCAGAATGCCATGAGCTTTTTGAAGATCTTCCTCTGTTATATGAACACGAAGCCCAGCATTACTTAAGCAAAACACCAGAATCATCTGTACAACTGAGTGAAGCAGTTCTTAATCATCAGGAAATAGACCCTTCTTCTAGTGATGAGAACCAAACGGTTTATCAGCCAGTTTCTACTAGTAAATCAAGGAAAGATTCTACAGAACCAAAGACATATATAGACACTATGGAAAAGAAAACAGACAATTTATTTCAGAATGGAAATGAACATTCTGATAATACTGTTTCAAATATAAGCTTGATAGACCAAAAGATGCCTGCCATAGAGCCAAATCCTGAAAGTAGTCATAGTACCAGTGACTTAGTCAATGGACACAGTGAAATAGAGCAAACACTGTTAGTTACGTCAGATCCTTCTCTGAAATCAGATATAAACAGAAACAGGACAGAAAATGGTTCTGCTTTAACCAATGTTGTATCACAAGAACACAGTGCCCTGTCAGTATCTCAGGCACCATCTAAACCAAATCTTTCAAGTGAACATACTTCATATGGCTTAATTTTAACAAAGCCATACGTTAGACCTTTGCCTCCCAGTTACCTTGATGAACGATACCTTAGTATGCCAAAACGCAGAAAATTTCTGACTGATCGAGTAGATGCCTGTTCTGATCAAGATAACATATGTAAAAAACCAGTGGAAAGATTACGATGTGGCAAATGCCTGACCACCTACTGTAATGCAGAAGCACTTGAGGCTCACCTTGCACAAAAGAAATGTCAGACACTCTTTGGATTTGATTCAGATGATGAAAGTAAGTCTTCTCTTTTCAGTAGCTCTATCTATAGAGATAGAAAGACATGATCAATGTAGCCAAAATGTATCTTTGTACTGCTAGGACCATAAACATCTAACATCTATGTAGCCCAGATGATAAAGCACTATTTCACATATTTCCTTTCAGTCCACAACCAGTATGATTTTATGAAATTAATATCCTTGTTTTAAATTAAGCAACAATCTCACAGGTAGTTTGCATAGGCTTGGGAACCTTGGAAGCTGGGATTCAAGATTTTTCACTCTTTGCTCCTGCTCTTCTTACTATTCTGCACTCTTTCAACTAGTAGTGGCTTTTCTTCATTCCAAGTTTCATATAATAGAGACAGTAAATTTCATCAGCATGGTAGAATAGGAAGCAAGTGAAATTAAATTGGTGTCAAAAACATAAGAGCCTGGGGAGATGGCTCAGCAGATAAAATATTTCGTGTGCAGTGATGAGGACTAGACTTTAGATTGCTAGCACCCATGTAAATGCTGGGCTGGCCTAATGCCTTGCCTCTAATTCTAACATGTAGGAGGCTCAGCTAAGATCACCAAGCAAGCTGGCTAGCTAGACTAGCAGAATCTGTGAGCTTTGGATTCCAGTGAGAGAACCTGCTTAAGTAAGGTAGAAAATGATCAAGAAAGATAACCCAACATCAGCCTCCAGTCTCTACATGTACCTGTAGACATGTGCTCACACACAGGCATGCATACACATACATGTACACCACAAAACACATGCACACATGGATACCAGAAATATAAGCTTTGCTTTTCTACTATAATCCATAAAACTTGCATTAACACATGTTTTATTTTACAGGTGCCTGATAATGTCTCAGAAAGATCTTTTGATCATGCTGTAGTGTGAAACAAACAAAAAACACTACAAGAAAATGCATCATCCAGTTTGCTATTTCCCTGATGGCCTTAATTTTAGAGTGGTCTCGGATTACTAAAGAAAAGACAAAGCACATTTTCTGGAATGAACTTGTAGAGGAGATGTGCCGGCTAAGACTCCAAAAGGGTTATAATATTCCCAAAGTACCAGTTATCCATGAAACCACACTTTTTAAAAGTTTATGGTGATTAATAGCAGCATGTTCAGTTTTGCTTATGTGAAAACACATTTGGGTAACTAGTCAGAAATAAAAACCAGCTATGGCCTTACTGAAGAAAGGAAAAAGTTGATTCATTATAATAAGGTGGAGGGGGAGCTGGTTTACAATAAACAATGTAAAACATTCTGAAAATGGGATTTGATTTGTTTTCTTGTCATGCATATTCATTATGTCTTCCCTCTGGTCAAACATATTTTAAAGAACCATTCATTGCTCTTTAGTTTTTGATATAATTTAGAAGCTGATACATAGAAATGAAGCTTGATTTATCACCATGCTATCTACTAAAGATTGTAACTTGTTTTCAAATGACTAAGTAGGCAGGTCAGAGTTGAGTGAATGGCATGCCACCATTGAAAAATAAAAATCCAAACAAAAACAGTGCTTGGTTAAGCTCTTGATAAGAACATTCAGCATACCACTTCTGTAAAGTCCACTCATTATATTTAAAATGCAGCAGTGTTAAGTAGAAAAGTAAGAATAGTATCAGTTTCTTTGGGAGGATGCAAGAAGAATCTAAGTCCATCGCATGGTAGACAATTGAAGGAAAACACTGAATTGAAAATTCTTCAATGTGAATAATGGTAAAAGCACACTGGGCTATTTCTATCTGTACATAGTATTAGGACATTGCTTGATGATTCATAGTAAAGTCCTTTAGACATTAGTGTGAGTTATCTAAGTATGATCCTATGAAAATAATTGGCTTAAAAGTATGTCTGTTAAGAATCAGATGAAGAGTTTACTTTATTGAGTTAGGAGAATTAATTCCAAAGTAAGCCATACTAATGTACTTTCTTCAAAAGTGATGAATTTGGCCTACAAAATAATTTTTGTACTTAAGAAAGTATTTACACCAAAATTTGCACAACAGGAACACATAACATATATTAATGCATTATTGTCTTTGGTGACCATTAATTTTCCTAAGAAAGATTTTAACTTATTAAATTATTAAAACAAATGTTTTACAGGTTAAAAAAAATCCTCTAGATATTTTACACCTATCTACCTACTCCTATATTACTCAGAAATGCGATAAAGAGAATACAAACAGGTGAATTCTTTAGACACACTTTATATCACTGACAACTGAGTGTGTTCCACTTATTCCAGCATGGTTTTATATAAATCAGACAATCTCATCACACATACTACAGATTTTAGGAACATTATGGCTACTTGAATGAGGTTATAAAAATGAGACATTACTTTTAGGGTGGCATCCAGATGTTAAAAAAATTTTTTTTCCAGGAATGCTATACCAGAGGATTTTTTTTTAAAGTTCTGTATTTTATTATTTACCATGGGCATTTGCAACTATGCAATGATGGTCGTTAGTCCATTCCAATCAGATTTAAGTTAGTTTTAGTTTTGTTATATAGCCTACATTAGGCTGTGGAATTTACATGCAGAAAACAGATAAGTACAACTCAAAAGTTCTAAATCCATTAAATTCAACTCAAACTGTTTTCCATATTTCCTGACACTAAAAAAATGTAATAATTGACTTTTAGTTCATCTTAAAAGTATATCTTGTAATAAAAATTGTTTGAAAACTGGTTCATTTGCACAATGAAGTTTTTTTTGAAACATAATTTCTGCTTTGTACATTTTCCACTTAATAACATTTTACCATTTCTTTACTTTTTACAACTGTAACCACTGATAAATATAAGTACATAAAATGTTATTTTCGTGAATTTTGAAGTTTGTGTGAAGATGTCTTAAACAAATTCCATCTGCTATTTTGACTTTAAGCTTAATTTAAAGGTTTTCTCTTGTGTTGCTAGGAGAAATTTTTCATATAGATAAAAATGGTTCATATTTAATCAAATCAAAATGTCATGTAACATTCTGTTTGACCACATTTTTCTTACCTCTTTATATACTTCTCACTTTTACCTCTTGAAAGAATGTGTGCATTTTATGATTTTACTCCAAAACACTTTGCTTTTGTGTGAACTTCCAGCAGATCTCATTTGGGATTTAGAAAGGAAGCTATTGTCTCACTTACACTCTTTCCCATCTCCTTTCTTTTTTTCTACTTTTATGTTGAGGATACATGGGCCAAGTTTCAAATCTTTGTTTTAAAATTCTTCTATGTGTCAGTGAGGTCAGGAAAAGTGCATACCTGAACCCTTGCTGCTAGACACAGAAGACGCACAGGAGGGAATCTCCATGGACAAGGACACTGGTACTTTGGGCACTAGCCATATTCATTTTTTGAAAACCACCAATATATAATGAATCCATAATTTATATCATTGATCTTGTGATTCTTTTCAAATCACACTGAATTTAGCTGTAATTCCATGTTTGGTTTAATGTTGTATGAATGAAAAGCCTAAAAGGGATGATAGTGTTTATTTTTTAATTTATTTGGTACTGTCAAACACCTTTTCAGAATGAGCAAATGCTGCATATGCATTTTGGAATTGTTATTATGTGAAAGATATTACAGATTCAGCAAGAAGGGAAATTTGTGCTTCCTTGTTGAATATTAAATTATTTTACTTTGCATTTTATAAAAGTACAAATTAAAACTGAGCCATTGAACTGCAATAAATCAACAATAGTGTCTCATTTCAAGAAACTTTTTGTATTGTACATAGATTTGTTCAATAAAACATTGTCCTTGTTGATAATGCAAGTGTTCAGTTTTATGTAGTACACTGATTTCAAGAAGAATTCAGCCTATATGAAAGAAATTTTTATGTCTCCTAAAAGTGAAATATTTCAGTTAATGTATCACATTCAGGTTATTGAAAAAATTTTGAAACCTCATAGAAAATGCTGGAAGTAGGGTTTTGTTCATATTTTAAGGCTGGATGGGGGTAACAGTTCATAGAGGGAGCTGAAAAGGTGATTCGGAGGTTTAGAGTACTTACTGCTCTCTAAAGGACCTGGGTCAGTTCATAGCATCACATGACAGCTCACAACAGTTCCAGGGGGTTTAAAACCGTTTTCTGTCTTCCATGGGCACCAGGCATACATACACATGGTGCACATAAACATATTCACACACAAACATCACACACATAAAATGATGGCTATTGAAGTTACTTCAGTAGACTTTAGTAAAGGATAACTAAAGACTGTAGACTTGGGGCAAAAGGAAGTATCAGCGCTCAGCAGATGCCAGGCAATATCATATGTCAACATTTTATTTTTTCCATTCAAATATTTACACTTCCTTCCCTCCTCCCAACCCCTTCCCCCTCCCCTACCCATTCTCCTCCCTTCCTCTCCCTGCTTGAGAGAGGGCTGGGACCCTGCCCTGTGGGAAGTCCAAGGCCCTCCCCCTTACACCCAGGCCTAGGGAGCTGTGCATCCACATAGACTAGGGTCCCAAAAAGCCAGAACATGCCATAAAAACAAGTCCCAGTGTTTTTATCAATGGCTTCTCAGTCAGCCCCCATTGTCAGCCACAATCAGAGAGTCCGGCTTGATCACATGCTCGTTCAGAGTCCAGCTGGATTTGGTGAGCTCCCTTTAGAATAGGCACACTGTCTCAGGGTAGACCAACTCCTTGTGGTCCTGAATTCCTTGTGCATCTTCTCCATCCTTCTGTTCTTCAACTGGACCTTGGGAGCTCAGTCCGTTGCTCTGATGAGGGTCTCTGTCTCTATCTCCATCCGTTGCCGGACGAAGATTCTATGGTAATCGAGATAATCATCAGTGTGATAGTGGGGCAAGGCCAGTTCAGGCACCCTCTGCTCTGCTGCCCAAGGACCTAGCTGGGGACATCTCGGTCGACACCTGGGATCCCCTCTAGAGCCAAGTCTCTTGCCAACCCTAAAATGGCTCCCTTAATGTAGGTATCTTCTTCCCTGCTCCTATATCCGCCCTTCCTCCATCTCCACCCTCCCACTCCCCCAAGCTCTTGCCAGTCCTTTCCTCCTCCCTTTCCTCTCCCCTTTCCCCAACCTCACTCCCACCCCTGCCCCCACCCCCATGCTCACAACTTTTGCCTGGCAATCCTGTTTGCTTCCAATTTCCAGAAGGATCTATATATGTTTTTCTTTGGGTTCACCTTGTTATTTGGCTTCTCTAGGCTTGTGAACTATAGGCTTAATGTCCTTGGTTTATGGCTAGAGTTCACAAAAGTGTGAGTACATACTATATTCATCTTTTTGGGTCTAGGTTATCTCACCTAGGATGATTCAGCAGTGAAAAGCATGTTTGGCATGCTTGAGGCCCTGGTTTTAATGCCAATATTTTTTTTTTTAAATCATGAAAGTTATTATTTGATTCCAAAAGTGATCTTGAACATAAGGGTTCCACTTTCAGTTCAGTAACAGGAACAAAAAAACAACAAAAATCCCAAAATAACCCTGTCCAATTAGCTATAACTTAAAAATTTGGAAAATGGTGTATAAGTAGAAAATCTTTTAAAGTAATGAGGTTGCACTGCAAATGAATGAATAGATGCATTAAAGGGATTTGCATACATTACAAACAACAGTTTGACACATGAAAATGTTCATGAAATATTCTAGCACTGAAGTGCAGAATTTTCTGACTGAAGGACATATGATCTTGGACTAAACGTGATCTGTTTTCAGAACAATGAATCTATTATGATATTTAAACAAGTTGTTGCTTAGGTAACTTTCCATTTTTCTTTCTTGGAACTGGAAGAATCTGGGGGAGATAGTACTAAGTTCTCTTATAATCAAGTTAAGTTTCATTCATAGTTTTCCCATCTTTTGGTATTGCCATTACACTCAACACTAGATAATATATAAGCATAGTTTACTTCACCCCAAGGTTGGGTGCTGGAAAGCTGAAAAAGCACACTACCAACTCTGTCTACATCACAGCCGGGTTAGAAAAGCAGAGGCAGCATGCAGAAAAGGTATGTGCCAAGAAGCAGGAGTGAGGAGGAGTCATGCTGTGCTGGAAAAAGCTCACAGGAGCCAGCATAGTCCTTCAAAAGTTAATACTGTCAAGGATGATTTAATGATCTGATAATTAATGTTCTTCATTATATCTTAGTATGAACTTGTGTACATGCTCAAATCAAACATGCTATATTCAAACAGCAAAAAATCCATATTAATTTGAAGAATCAGTGTTTAACTAGGACATAAGTTCAGGTTATATGTCACATTTTAAAATGGCCATTCAATGTTATTTTCATAAAGAAAACAGTTCATTTCATTGAGGAGTGCTACATACAGAAGAAAAATGGCTTCTCATTTTACTTCTTACCATGTACCCACCACGTGTCACTTCTAATAATTCAAGGGTGAGCACTGTCAGATGCCTAAGAGTTAGAAGGGTTACTCAATTGAATAATCAAACTTTTCCAGTCTGCCATGGTCCCTACAAACATGAATGAAGATATGTTCAAACAGAGACAACCTTATCTGAGAATCAGCGATTTAAAGGACAGGCTGTAGTCCAGTGGACATAGTTGACAGTTTAATATCTTCTAATAATTCTTAAAACGTGTGGTCCCTGTAGCAGAACAACAGTATCACAAGGAACCTTGTTAAATATTAGATTAAATAACAATTTATTTCTATTATGTGCGGAGGGGGGGAGGGTCCCTTCAAGCTCTACTGCTAACAGAAAGAGAAACCACAAGATTTAAGAAGGAAACTTGGTTCAGCACAACTTAGTTAGGCTGGCTCAAATTTCTAGAGTCTGACACCATGCAGTTTATTGTAGAAACATTTAAGTACGGTTTAATTTTGGAAAAAAAATGTTCCTGGTAACAATTATCTCAATCTAATGTGTATAATAAAGCAATTCATAACAACAGTGAAACTCTTCTACAAAGTATGTGAAGGTAGGCTCTATAGCTCACTGGCCTAGGATCTGGTGTGGTCTCTGAGATAGTGTAGAGGTCCTCAGGCTATCAAGTACATGGGACATCTCCCATAAGGATGGGTCCTACTGACTGAGAAACATAGCTGACGATAAAAGTCTAGGGAGAAAGACTCTGAAATAAGCAATTGGGAGATTTGGGTGAGGCCTAGTCCTACAGATAGCAAAGGTCACCGGGTTATTAACCACTTCCAGCCTTCCAGGTGGGGTAAAAACAGGTATACATCCCTGCCACTGAAGAGATAAGCCTGTGTGATTATTATTCCTGGTTTCCTTAGTGCTTATCTATGAGCTAGTACCCATTATATCTATCACAAATCTCGGGGAACTCTTACACAAGCTAAGGTTTGGAACTAATAAAATCAACATAGTGTACCACATATCCCTATATGGTAAACTCTTAACTCCTCAAAAACTCTCCCACAACTTAGTGAATAGATAGTAAGAACTGATACCTGAAATGGCTTAACCCCTGAGAAAATTTTATTTTCTTCTCAAAAAATATATTGAGTATACTCTGATGTCTCTTTACAATGTGTATGTCTTACACCTCTTATAAAAAGTATTCAGCTCATAGTTATTAGAAACAGTTAAAATGGGTATGTAGTTAAGTAAGATTGTGCTCAAATTTTACAATGGTAGTTTTATTCTGGAAATGTAAGTGGTAATATACCACTAAGTGGACATAATGACTTATCATTATACCCATGGATTAATGCATCATCTCCCAACCATCATCAGAGACAATTCTATCTCTATAGCAAATGGTTAATAACACAGAGACACCAAATTGGCCAAGGTGTAGAGAATAAGAAACTGAATCCTCAGGCTGGAGAGATGGCTCAGAGGTTAAGAGCATCGCCGGCTCTTCCAAAGGTCTTGAGTTCAATTCCCAGCAACCACATGGTGGCTCACAACCATCTGTAATGAGGTCTGGTGCCCTCTTCTGGCCTGCAGGCAGACACACAGACAGAATATTGTATACATAATAAATAAATAAATTTATATATAAAAAAAAGAAACTCAGCACACCCTCTGCCCCTGCCACACACGCACTAAGTATTCTCCCAGCAAAGGCTCAGGGACCAGCAAATAGGAAATCCTAACAAGGATAAGACATGTGCAAGGCCAAGCCAGGCCAAATACAACACGGACAAGAAAGCTGGGCATACAGTCCTGCTCTAGCTAAGGAGCAGCAATTGTTAGCTCCCAGAGAGGGCAAGTTAGTTTCTCTAAGAGTTTAATTAGCCCTGGTAAGTTGATCATGTTCCAGTTGAAGATCATATGTCCAAATATACTTGGCAACACAAATTGATTTTGATAGGTCTCAAAAATATGAGGACACAAGGTAGGGGAGTAAGGGTGTATCTGGGGAAAGTATCAGGAAGGGAGTTAATGTCATCAAAATACAAAATGCTCAAATAACTAATAAACTATTTAAAAAATAATATCTAACTGACTTCATATTTCTGTAAAATGGGACAACTATTGGTGCAAGGTTGTAAGAATTTAGTAATTGAAGGCCCTGACACCAAGCCCTTCTTGTTATGCTCTTGCTAAATTAGTTAGGATTACTATTCTGTTTCTGGCCTTATAGTCATATTGAAAATTCTACCTGCCTTCATACTCTTCTACTGGATCACAATTAATTCAGGACCCTGTCTCTGTTCCAACCTTCTTTCTTTGATTTACTCTTTTTTAGGTATCATCACTTGCTCTAGAAAGTCTGAGCTCTTGCCTCTTATATTCCCCATTAAAACCTACCTTACCAAGTGTTCTTTTTCTCAGTAAATGGCAACTCTGGTGGCCC